CGCGGAGCGACCAGAGGTACAATTTGTTAACGGCCATAAATCCCATACCCTCTCCGCAGCAGCAACCAATTTTCATGCAAGTTAATTTCCAGTTAAAGTTCAGATTTTCCTTCCTATAAATAAATATCACGTATACGCCACCCTTTTGATAGATGATTCCCTGCCCTCTTCCCACCACCCAGCCCTACTCCTTGGTGGCTAATAATAGAGCACACACTGCCCTTCTGCTAGAGATTTTTCTTTGGTGGCTGCTGGCTGCTGGCTGCTGGTGGCTGGCTGCTGCCTGCCTGCTCCTTCGGCTGCTTTCATTAATATTTTTGCCAGCACAAACAATGTATTGACATTTCAATTAATTATGAGCGCATGCGAGCAACAGAGACAGAACGCTAGACGGTTGGAGCAAGAGACAGAGGAAGAGGGTGGAAGGATAGAGTGTATTGGACGCGAACCGTGACCTTTTGGTGCCTCTCCTCCTTCTGCTAGCTCTCTGAGAGATGGGGAAAGTTCAAGCTCTGACATTTGCGAGATGTGCAAAGAAAGTTGATGGGAAAATGAAATGAAAAGTTTGCATGAAAGTACAAACATGTTAGGGAGAAAGGGTTTTATGGTCTTAGTGCCATTTTAGTTAGTCCAAGTAAGAGCATGGAAACATTTTAGAGGTTCTAAGAGCGCTTTTAGAAGCACTTCGGAGGCACTTCGAAAGGTTTTTGAAGAATTTTATTTGGGAGCAACATCTAAGAAATGTCACTTCAGCATACAAACTACTGAAATAACTGCAAAGTTTGATGGAAAATGCGCGTAAATATTCAAATAATTTATGGTGTATTTAAGTTGCTCTAATAAACTAAAAGATCACCCCTCTCTCTCTCTCTCTCGCTGCTATGCAAACGCACTTTGACATTTTGCAAACACACACCTTTCACGTGTATCTCTCTTTCTGTATCGTTGCCTGTCTGCTCGTTTCGTTCGCTTTTCTTTTTCCAATTTTGGCCTTTTCCCCGAAATGTCATCAAACCAACTCGGCAGCTACAGCGGCAACGACGGCGGCGGGGCCATTGTGGTTGTCGTTTCCGGCTTGAACTGAATTCAATGTTTATCTGTGGAAACTGTCGCTCTCAGTGTCTCTGCTCTTTGCTCTGGGAAAATGTTAAAGTTAAGTCAAAAGTCTCCGTTGCTGCCCCACCAACACGGAGGAGGTGAGAGCTTTATGCAAATCCTAGCACACACAGAAAGAGGTCCTAAACGCAAAATGCTACTAAGCCCACTTACTTACAATTTAGCAAAGAAAATAAAACCAAAGAGAGCGAGGGAGAGCATACACAGAGATAGAGAGAGAGAGAGAGAGAGAGAGAAATCATATTGCGAAAAACGAGAGTGTAAAATTCTTTATTTTTTGCATAGTACATGCCATAAGAACGAGCGGAACGGGGGGCCCGGGGGAACGTACCGAAACGAGGGGCAAAACGTGGCGTAGCGGACGAATAAAACAACAACAAGCAGCAACAAAAAACGGAATCCCAGAGCTTTATGGCACGCACACAGCCATGCATACACAATACACAGACACACACTCGTCGTATAACACTTGACTTTATTCGCAAGTGCCTTAATAGTGTGCGTGTGCATGAATCTGTGTGTGTGAGTGTGAGTGTGATGTGAGTGTGGACTACTTTCTGGTTCTGTGCGGGCGTTCGGCACAAAATCCAATCAACATAACGAGCTACAAGCGCCGCTGAGCGCCCCGGCATAAAAACGCAAAAAATACATACGTAAATGTGTGTGTGTGTGTGAGTGTGTAGTGGTTGTGCGTGTGTGTTGGAAACACTGGAAGAAATTATGTTGCAAGGGGATAAAGGCCCCTTAAGCCCCAAAAGCCCCTGAACCATCACCCTCACCCACACCAGTCCCGCCTGAATGGAGTCCCAATCCCCCTTGAATAATCTTTTCAAAATTGTGATTGAAGGAACTTATGTCGGGGATTTTGGTATAACAAAAATATGAATAAATGTGAAATAAATCTGATAGATTGGTGGCGCTCAGGGTTTACAAATGGAACGGAATCCTTTCTGGAATGTAGCTTTGAGCGAAATCTAAAAACATGCAAAATGGCCTGGACATGTTGGATGCTGTTCGATCACTGTCTGAGCCAACATGTTCGATCATTACTGCTACTCCCACCCAGAGAGACTTTATGTTTTGTTCATTTCAATTATGGAATCTCTGCCAGAGATTCCTCCAACTCCGGTCATAATCAATCTTTAAGTCGCTTTTTGCCACTGTTTTCCATGCCGTTCATTCAACTTTTGTGTTTTAACAAGGCGGCTAAAACGGCGGTTCAAAACCAGCGGCTGACTGACAGAAGTGCTGTTCTTGCATGTTGTTGTTGCTTCTGTGTGTGGGAGAACACACATTGCCTAGCTGGGAAAAAGTGTGTCGACGAGACCACACCACACTCTCACGCACAAACAAATGAAATAAAAGTAAACCCATTTACACCACACACAAATACATACACACTTTGAGGAAGGGGGAGTGGGGTAGGGGCATTTGGCGCCAACTGCTTTGGCAAGCTGAAAATGTGGGACATTTGGCAGTCGCATTCGCATTGTTAACTTTCTTTGACAGCGGGCCAGAAAAACAAAACACAAACAAACAAACACACACAGAGAGCGCAACAAAAATAAGGGACCTCCTAGGGTCCATGTCCTCTCTGCCAGTGCAATCGCTGGGTCTCCTTTTATTTTTCTGCTTATTATGACTACCCCCCGCTGCGTCTTATGATTTTGATTGGGGTAAAAATAACACCATAATGCGCGTTTATTCTGCTTTGGCATCAAGTTGTACTCGAAGGATCGGTGGAACAAACATCCCTCTCGAATGTCAGCGAACTTAAAGAGACTTCGTGCTTCAAAACATCACTTAAATGCGGTTTTTCCCAGCAGCAAGATCAGCACAAGCAGAATTGCCATGTAAAATGAAGCAACAATCTCCTTTCAGCGTCACCTTCTCCTCTCGATGCAGGCACGAATCTTGCATGGCACAGCAAGTACTGAGCTAAGTTTCAGGTAGCCCTATAAAGATTGATATTTGAACGTGCCTGGAGCACGCAGAGAGGAATAGTAACCACAGAAAAAATTAATTTGTCAGTATGTTTTTGTGTGTTCATAGTAATGTCTCCCATGATAGTTTTGCAATAATTTTTTTCACACATTTCTTCGATGCCAAAACCAATTTATGTACATGTAATCTCTCTGGTGACATGGTGGGTGCATGGTGTGGCCTTACTTTTCTGGCCTTTTTCCTGCGGTGTATCTTTATCTGCAACTATGGCCACAACTGCAGCCAGTGGGGTGTCCGTGTATTTATGGGTTGCAAATTGAAGACACAGCAGTAGCAGCACCAGCAGCCAATTAACACAGCACGAACGAATCTCAATCGAATCGCCATGTCCAGCCCAGTCCAGCCTCCTGTTTGTAGCCTGTTGCCATTCCATGCTCAACCCATTCTACCCCATTATGATGCCCATTGTGTATGTGTTGCATGAACCTTTCAACAAATTGATTATTTGCATTGAGATCCTACAGTCTGCTGCATACTGCCGCCTGCAACAACTATAATGGCACTCGACTCGGTCATGGCCACGGCAGATGTTCGTTCGTTCTGCCTGTCTCTGTCTGCCCGTCGCTCTCTCTCTCTCTCTCTCTCTCTCTCTCTCTCTCTCTCTGAATATGCGTCAGAAACGGGCGTGGCAGCCACACGCACTTATCACCCATGCAACAGCAACAGCAGAGGCAGCAGCAGCAGGAGCCCATCGACCACTGGAGTGAAGAGAAAAATGCTTATAAAAGGATTAATTCGATTCCAATATACGCACAGACGCACACGGCACATCCCACATCCCACATTCCCCATTCCCCATCCAACCACTGCGGGTACCTACCATTTTGCATTTCCACATTTTCCATTCGGTATTCAGGCTTTCCTCTCTTTTGGGGCAAGCATCTCTGGTCGACAGATATCAGCTGGGGATATTGCCAGTCATTGTGTGTGGCATTGTTTTAAATGCCCCCAAACCATAATGATTGTTGCAAAATGAAACGAACAGAAGAGAATGAGAGCGTAAGCAAAGAATGTCTGCGAGTGTGTGGGAGTATGCTTTGAAAGAGTATTGCAAGAAGGATATAAGGATTGGAAAGTGGAGTCTGTGGATAAGAGATACATCAACCCTGAAAAATATTTTATATATTTGCACTGATAAATAGTCTTATTTCTTCCTAATTTACCGGACGAAAAACTTTTCAGTCGGTAGCCCGACCATCTCTGAAAGATACCTGAAATATCTTTTTAAGAACCTACAATTGTTAGAGCATTTCAACTTCATCTTTTGGGCCCGACACAACTTCAACTTCTTATTCCCCATGGCCTTTGTGTGGATTGCGTTGGCTGAGTGGCGGATTGCAATATTCATTCTTCATGCAACTTAATGGATGCACCGCTGCCTCCTGAAACAGATTAAAGCTCCATTTATTGGTGTGGCAAAACCTTTTAAACTTTCAATTTCGGGAATCAGGAAGTGTGTGCCATAGCGCAGGATTAACTTAATTTATTTCCAACACACGGAGACAGAGACGCACACAGCCACAGATAGAGATGCCACAGAGAGTTGCACATCTACAGATACAGATAGAGACAGGGAAGGAGGCTGCAAACGACCGTTGCATAGATTGAATTGCATTTCAGGTGATGCCAGGGCACAGATTGGCCAAAATAGCATGTTAATTGGTCTAAATTTGATTTCCAATTTACACCCACACACAAATGCCACACACCCCATCCTGTGTCTAGGTCGCAGGTTGGCAGAGTGCGAGGGTGCCATGGTGCAAGACTGAATCTGCGGCGTAATCCGAGTGCTTGTTAGGTGCCGAAAATTATTCAATGAACTACCGTATCGATAGAATTATCAAAGTAGTTCATATTTCTCCCTTCCTTTCGAATTTCAGAGGCCACACACATCAGCAGCAGGAGCAGGCTAAGGAGAAGGAGCAGGAGCAGGAAGCTGCGATCCACACCCATATCTAAGCACCGAAGGCCACACACAGCAGGAGAAAGACACACCGAGGCCTAGCCATGGGCAGTGGACACTATTTCTGGGCGATTTTTTACTTTGCCAGCCTCTGCAGTGCTTCACTGTAAGTACACAGTAGATACCTAACCATTCCCCCTTCACACACACGCACACACACACTCTCTCATATTAAGAGACCAGCATAAGCTTTTTCTTGATTTTTCTAGATATGTATTATTACCGCTTTAATCATTTTTTGTGTTTGCCTAGCTGTGTCCTAGTACTACTTCGGCCTCGCCTTTTCGCTGCTGCACATCAGTCTGAGTCGGCTTACAGTTACTGCTAAAAGTAAAACACCAACCAACCAGCCGCTCTTCATAATTTGTTGCTTACGCGTGGCTCTGTAGTATCAGCACTTAAGCGCCGGGCAAGTGGCTTTCCAAAATGGCAATTTACATACAATTGTCATTAATTTTTGTGGCGCACTGACACTGCACAAGCAGAGCCCATGCCTCGCTTTCGAGGGGCAGTAAATACGATACATACATATATCGGTTAATGCCCCTCCTCCTCCTCCACTTAATGGCTGAAGTAGTCGTGTAGTTTATGCCTCTTTCATCCACTTTACTTTACAAAAACACAGAATACTACTCGTCCTCACGCCTTTTTCTCTCATTAAAATGTAATTAAATTTTCGTGTAATATTTTTGTCGGAGCATAAATTTTGGAATTATTTACGCTCAAGTCGAGGCCAGAGTCAGCAGAAAATACGCATCCTCTATGTGACTTTGGTTTCTTCTTCTGATAAGTGCGACAGTGTATAATAATCTCTCTCTTTTTAATGCAAAATAAAAACACCCTGATTCCACCTCTAATTTGTACATAAGAAAATCAAAAAATATTCAAAAAAACGATGCTGTATGAAGCTTTTTTTCCAAAAATATTCAACATAAATTTCAAGCTTAAGTCCAAAGAAAAATTTGCTTCTAAAATTATACCGTTCGTACGTTATCCCCATATCCTGATTTCAGAGCAAATAATGCCAAAATAAATTTCCGAGAAAAGGAGAAAAAAGTCTTAGATCAAATTTTAGGTGCAGGCAAATACGACGCACGTATCCGACCATCCGGAATCAATGGCACAGGTGAGCATACCCTCTAATATAACACCAACTAATACTATTACTCTATTTGGAATACCCTTAAATTTGAGTTTTGTGTTTTTGTTTTTTTTTTTTTAAGCTTTTTTCCGTTTCAAGTGCTCTCAAAAACAAAAACATGATATTTAGTGTTAGTTATAACGAAAATAACGAAAAATCGAATCGAAATTATAGCGATAATCTAAGTAACTAACTTAGTTTAGTTTATATTCAGCCGACATTCAGTTCGCTCAGAGTTTAGTTAAGTTATAAATTCACTTTTTTGCAAAATGTTGTCGATAAACTCACAATTTAAACCCCAAACTTTATGCCAGATGGTCCCGCCATAGTCAGAATCAATCTATTCGTACGAAGTATTATGACGATTAGTGATATCAAAATGGTAAGTCCACTTACACATGGAGAACCCAACCCAGCAAGCAAATACAACTAGCGAGAAGCCAGTACTATCATTCGAAAACAGAATTCGATCAAACAAACATTGGATAGAGATTCGATAATCCCCCAACTCCCCCAATTCACACTCCTCTTTCAATGTCTCTATCTGTCTCTGTCTTTTACTCTGCCACATCTATCTAGAAATGCTCCTGCCTCACACAAACACACACCCACAATCACACCCACACACCCACACCCATTCGTTTTTGTTATCTCTTTCTCCTCTATGCGTATAAATACATACATATGTATATTCCCAACCAGCCCACATATTGAGTTTGATTTTTTTGCCACTTTTTTATGGCCGATTTTCCTGTACAAGTCTTTCTGTACCTTCCTGTATGTACGTTATCCTTTGCGTTCATGTTGTTCTGCTGGGCTCTAGAGACCCAGCAAATCGAACGTTTGTTTGTTTCCCAATTTTTAATTTAGTTCAATAACTACATTCAAGTGTTGGCCACTCGAGGTGGCTGCCCTCCTCATAAAGCAAGTGCAAACTGTGTCCTTCACGCTCATTTCTTTCCATATATATTGTATGTGTTTTTTTCTCCCCCGTTAACACAAACCATTTATTGGACATTTAAAATCGATTATCCTACCCGTCCCCTTGAATTACGAAACGATGCGCAACGTTTTTGCAAGAGTTCATTTTTTGCATTGCAGTTCGTTGTTTTTTTTTATTAATTTAATTACGAATAAAGTTTGTCCTGATTTCCAGTTCATTTTGTGTTGACTTTTGCCACAGCAGCAGCAGCAGCAATGACATCATTAACAATGTAAAAGCATCATAAATATTTGCAAAAATAGCACAGGCGCTCACACTCCAACACACACCCACGCTGAAATACATATATGTATATGACAAATATCCGAGTATATATTGTATATCTACGCTTAAAGCTCTATTCAGCTATTAAGGCATATAAATTAGAAGTTTTTTTTCAATACACAATACACGAATTTCCATTTGTATTTTTACTAATTTCCACACACATCTAAACACCACACCACACCACACCACCCCACCACCACCCCAGTTTGAGTCAAAAAACCCACTCCCCTCGAAGGTCACAAACCACCGCCACTACTCCATAAACAAGAAAAACAAAAGCAATTTTAGTCTTAGCTTAACTTAGCTTATACAGCAGAAAAGTACTCTTTACGCATAGCTTTACCTTCTTTGTATCTGTAGAATGTAAGAGAACAGAACAACAACACCAAAGAAAAGCCAAAGCAACAGCGAAAAGAAAAAGAAAAGCCATAAAATAAAACTTTATTACAGTGGGAAGGCGGCCGCCTAAGGAAAAGTGTTGCCTGCGCTCGCATAAAGAATCTACAAAAAAGTGTTGCCTGCCTTTGGCCGAGGGCGCCTCAAATAAAATCTCGTTTTTCTCTTTTTGGTTCATTTTTTAAGTTTTCTTGGGCGCAACAGCTGTTGCTTATAAAAACCATTTTTTCCAAACAACAAAAAAAAAAAGAATTTAAAAAAATAGTATTGTCCATATGTATCGTCTACCCCTCCAGATGGTCCCGCCGTTGTGCGCGTCAACATATTCGTACGAAGTATATCGAAAATCGATGATGTGACTATGGTAAGTGCCCCTCACGCCGCGTCTAATCCTCCACCAACAAACTGCAAATCTTAGGACCTACCCTTTGACCTCCTCCTCTTCAACTCCACCTCCTTCGTCTCGTGAGATACGTGATAGGGTTCTTGTTGTCGTTGTTGTTCTTGTATTCCGCTCTATTTCTCTCTAAGGGTAAAAAAGACAAAAGATACCACAGAAAAAAATATCTTATATTATAATATATTTTATATATATATCTACTTATAATACATATCAATGAACTATGTTTGACTATCGATGTGATTAATTGATTTTTCGTCCATTTGATGATTTCCTTTTGTACATTTTCGCCTTCAGTTCCTTTTACGAAAGTTTTTAGCAAAATTCTCTCTCGCATTAGTTTTTGTTTCAATTTGCATTTTCTCAAATTAGAAAGCTCTCTTCCGTTTGCATTGGTAATTGAATTAGTTTTATTCTTCTTTTCTTCATTATATAATTATACAACAAACAAAAATGTAAAAAATACAAAGCAAAACGAAAATGTCTTTTTGGATCTCTTTCCTGTACACATCTCTCGCTAACTCCTTCTGTCACTCACTAGTTGTCTATCTGTCTCTCTCAATCTATCTCTCTCTCTATTGCTATCTCTTTTAATTTGTAACAAGAAATAAAATAAAATAATCTCTAGATAACAAATTAATTTCTACAGCTCTCTCTCCCTCTGTCTGTCTTTCTGTAAAAAAAGCTCTATAAAAAATCGTAATGTTAATTGTTAATTATTAAATTAATATTGAATTAATCTTGTATCCAAATTGAATTCATCATTAAAAATGCGACCTACAGATGTGCATTCATGTGGAGGATTAAATGCTGCTATTCATTTTCTCGACGAAATTTACTTAATTTGATTTATCATTTTTTTGCTGCTGTTCGTATGTACTAAATATTTAGTGGAACAATGGATATGAAAATGTGAAAATGTGTGTTCTTGTTTTGTCGATGTATGTCCTTTTGTGTATGCGTGTGTCGTCCCCCTAAACCCTCACTCTTTCCCCCAAGTAATCCAATGGAAAATAGTTGTTCTTTGTTTTTTGCGTTGGTTTCCTCCCACCCCTTAAAATCATAACCGAAATTGAAAATGTGTGTGTGGCATGTATTCTTCAAAGCGCAATGAACAACTATGCAAAAATTTCAACCATAAAAAAAAAAGAAAAATAATATAGAATGAATAAAAATCGAATCTACAACTAAAAATCAAATTAGCAAGCAAACTAAAAATCCAGCAAAACAATACGACATAACATGCAGAATACTCAAATTTTTTTAAATGAGATCCATGCAGACATTTTTCTTCCATTCGAATATTGTTTGTTTAGTATTCAATTAAATTTTTGTTAACATTTTCAGATTTTCTTGTTGAGTTTTTTCTGTGTGTTTTCCTTTGATTTTCCATAACATTTCGTGCACACACATATGAAAATTCATCAAATAAATAGCTTGTAAGCCTTAAAAGGTAGTTAGTAAGTATAATTAAGATTCCGACTAAGTTCAGGTTCAGGATGGCAGATTGATTGATGATCGATGATTGATGATGCATTTTTGTAGCTAATTTGGCCACAATGGTGAAGGTGAACATGTTCCTGCGATCCATATCGAAGATTGATGATTACAAAATGGTGAGTCCGCCTCAAAGGATCGAGCACATCCACAACAACAACTACACAACCACAAAAACTACAGCTACAAACCCAGTCACACACACACAACCCCAAAAAGCCGCTTACTATCTCTCACTTTTGCTGTCTGTCAATGTGTGTGCCGTGTGTGCGTGTGTGTGTGCTCGTAATAAATGCCGAAAATTTGGAATAATTTGTGTATGCCTATGAGTGGCAGCGCCTCTCTCCGAATGGAATAGTTGTACATTTTTCGTAAACAGAAACTCAATTGTAAACTATATCTAATAATTGTATAAAATATACGTGCATATCTTTAATTGTACAAAATACGATTATGTATCTATGGTTTTCTTTTTTCATTTCTTTCGACTCAGAGGCTCTCCTGCTTAAACGCTTTTGTGTCTCTCTCTCTTCCAATCACCGCCACAAACGATGCCACATGCTAGAGATCGAACTCTGTCTCTTAAATGCAAGCAAAATACCAGCGAAAGTACTACTAAAAAAACCTACGTTTAAGTATTAGCTATAGTTTAAGCATAAATTTAAGTGAGGAACCAACCACCAACCTCCACAGATACAGCCACCGCCATTCACCTTAAACAATCTTTGAAACCTACAAGAAAACTCCCCACGTTCTCTCATTCAATATCATTTTCCTTCGATTTCGGTTTCGTTTTCATTTAAATTCAATTTTGACAAGAAAATATGGTTTCAAAACTGCTTTAGTATACATAAATGAAAAACAGGTTATTACATGCAGAATTTAAACGGAAAATAGAGCCACAAATCCATTTCACACAACTCAACAATCCTCTGCAGTTTTGCTCTGGTACAAAAAAAGCGACAACTGCCACACGACGCAAAGATAACAGAAATACAGGAAAACGACATTTAAAAGAGCCCCATACCCATATTTATAAAAAGTAGTCTTTTTTATTCACTTTCCCGAATAGGAAACGATGTTCATGCTTTTCTGTCAAAATTTTTGATAGTTTTACGAGTGACAAACACCAACAGAAGTGGTAGTAGCTCTCATTAGGGCCATCAAACAGGGTTTTTCCATACACTTTTTATGTTTCAGAGTCCCAAGTTTTGAGTTACCAAAATGTTCCATCCTTTGATGTGTGGCATTCTCGACCACTTTTTGCATGAGTTTTAATTAGTTTTCTATGAAAATTCTTTAGGAATACTACTTAAAGTTATCAAAGATTTTATCGCATGAAAATTTAATTTTTAAGTTAGATTTTAAGCCATAAATATAAATTATTCATATAATATTTAATTTAATTTATTTAAAGAATGTTTTAGATATATTTGAATGTCCATGAATCTATGTATGTTTAAGACACCTTTGCTTTTGTCTTTTGACTCCGCTTGCCACCTCCTTGCTTGATTGCTGTTTGCTCTTTTTTGCCTGCCTTTTTGCCTGTGCAACACGTTGCATGCCCTGCATTTTGTTGTATTATGAAGTGTTTACTAGGCATTCAGACATGAAACAAAATGCTGAGGTCCTTAAAATCATATATATATACGTATATATACAGTATATAAAGGAGATGTATAGTTAATATACATGCCAAAAAAACCCCCCCAAAAATTTCGACATGCCTTGCTCTCGCCTCTTTTCATATTCAAACCAAACAAAAAATAAAGAAAGAAATTGCATTCTTTGCTAATCCCTAATCAAGTAAAATTAAATGAAATTGAGAACCTCCTCCACTCGAAACACAAAGAAAATTCCATTGAAAATTTGCATTGTAGTTGAAAATTGAATTGAACCGAAAAATCGATCCATGAAAAGCAGCAGCCACCCTTTGATTTCCTTTACTAATGAGAGTTTTTCTTTACCACCAACCAACCTATGAACACCGTTCGACTCGATTATCCTTGGAATCCTTCAGGAGTACAGTGTTCAGTTAACATTCCGAGAGCAATGGACGGATGAGCGTCTGAAGTTCGACGATATTCAGGGTAAGTCGGAAAAGATACCTAAAAATTTCATAAAATAACAGAAAACGTAAATGAAACTTTTTCTTTAAAGTGTAAATCATTTTTCTTTAATATTATTTTTGTATTTTTGTATCCGATCTTTCAAAGGTCGGCTCAAATACCTCACACTGACGGAGGCGAACCGAGTCTGGATGCCGGATCTTTTCTTCTCAAACGAGAAGGAGGGACACTTTCACAACATAATCATGCCCAATGTGTATATACGCATATTTCCCAACGGTTCAGTTCTGTACAGTATACGTATCTCGCTGACATTGGCTTGTCCAATGAATCTCAAACTATATCCATTGGATAGACAGATATGTTCATTGAGAATGGCCAGTTGTAAGTGTTGAAACGATACAGTATCTAACGGGCCAACTAACACCTCTAACCACATTCATAACCCAACCCAAACAGATGGCTGGACCACAAATGATTTGGTGTTCCTTTGGAAGGAGGGTGACCCGGTGCAGGTCGTTAAGAATTTACACCTACCTCGCTTCACTTTGGAGAAGTTTCTGACTGATTACTGTAACAGTAAAACCAACACGGGTACGTCTCTGTTCCTCCACTGTCCTCTCTCCTTCCTTCTACCGCCTTCAAAACGTTTTCTTCGACTCTACTTCTACTTCTACTTCTACTTCTACTTCTACTTCTACTCGAATACTTCTCTACTACTCGTCTATCTACTCGTATCTATCTTTTCCATAGCTTGTCTTTTTGTTGCATGCCTTTTAACCTTTTCAGTAAATGTTTCAAAATGTGTAAACAGCCTCATAACCACTTCATAGCACACATTTCCATATCGTTTTGCTGCTGCTCTGCTCTCTGCTTTCGACAATCCCGAATCGAATCGATCCCCGTAAGCAGCAATTTTTTACGACTCACACACGCACACACAAACATCCATTCTCCATAGTGGTAGTAGTCGTTCCACACCCGCATTTAGATACACTTTCAGGAACACAGATACGAGTACTCGAAGCAATTTTTACCTTGCTACTTTTTATGAGCACTTGCGCGCGCTTTTCCTCCTGCCCCCGCTATAAATGTTTTTAACTATTCAGGAAGCACAGAAGGGCAGGAGAGTAAACTGATGAAATGTAAGAAGCAAAATGTACGACAAAAGCCGTAAGGAAACTAAATTAATCGAGGAAATTGTCTGCAACGTTGTTTAAACTTTGCACAAAGAGACATCAAAGATGGTTCCCGATGATGATGATGATCCTGACGATGATGTGCAGGTACTACGAACGCATTGCAAACAACGAATGCAAAGAGATTCTTTTTTTGTACAAGTTCTGAGGTAAAAAGAACTGTGTGTGTGTGCAATAGAGTTCCAATGCAACGAGTAGAGGATTCATTTGAGTTTGTTTACCAAAGTATTTTCAATATTTATTTAAGGAAAAACTCAGCACCTGAAACGCCTCAAACGTTAGAGTAGCATTTAGAGGAAGTTTATTTTAGAAGTTCATACCCAGTTAGTGGGCTGTCCTTTATTCGCATCATAACCCATCCGTGAAGAGATCCGTGAGGTAGTTAATACAGAGCCTTGCATAAATCAGTCTTACAATGAGAAAGGACTCTTGAGACGCTTCTTACGTGTCACAACTTTTATACCCGGTACTCTGTTAGTTAATCTGTACCTTAATGTTTTTTATTTTTTGTTCGAGTTTTACATTGACATTTTACATGTTTTCTACATATGTATTCTACATCTACATCACTTCTTACGGCAACAGCTCTTTTAGCTTTTTAGAGAATGCGCAAAACATAAAAAAGCTGCTGGGCGGGCTGGGTTTAGCCACTGCAAATTGACTTCTTCATTCTGGCTATAATAATAATCCAATCTGATCTCAATTCGGTGATCTGATAAATATGGTCATTCCCTACGGAATAGTTTTCACTTATCTTCAGAATTGTGGACACAGGGGGAATATCGAAATACACTTGTAACAGTGTGAGCACACAGAAGTCGGGATACAAAACTTGGTTGCCCTATCTCTTATGGTCTCTCAGTACTAGGCGCTCACAAGGACGGACAGACGGACGGACAGACAGACATGGCTATATCGACTCTGCTATTGAATGTGGGGTCGGAAACGCTTCCTTTTGTGTGTTACATTTGCTCCACGCAAATACAATATACCCTATTTACTCTTCGAGTACCGGGTATAAAAAGAAAACATTTCGTTTGCAATTCTCTAAAGTAACATGAAAAAAAGGAAGAAGAACTATTCTAATTAAAGAGGCGTCAGCTCACATTTAATAGACAAATAGTATATTTTATGTTTAATTGTTTATATTTTAAAAATTTGTCTCTTGTAATACTAGCCTTGGTATATTGGTCTGTGTGTTCATGCAGGGCTCTTGTCCAATGAAAACCAAATCATCCCCATCATTCTAAATATCCAAGAAAGTGTCTAAGCTTTCTTCATACTAAAAATAAGATATTTATGATTTTCTATTCTCAAAGTTCGTGTTGGCATGAGCAAGCCTGAATGTATCCTATTTTCTCCCTTATTTTAAGCCAAAAAAAAAACAATGACATACGTAGTATTCTTTAAGATATATAATATATAAGATATACTCGTACATTTATTAACATAGATGTTGCCAGTAGTGTTCTTTGCAATTTTAGTATTCTCTCTCGCTGTCTTTCTCTTTCTCTGTCGCATTGACAGTTACTTGCTCACATAAAGTTTATTAATTCTATATCTTCTATGAGCGTTTTTTTGCGGAGTAAGAAATGTGTGAGAGCTCGTGTTAAGGTACGATTCGAATGCGCTTCTGCTGTAATCAGAGCGAGCGAGGCTGCTTCGTTTGATTGATGAGAAGCCCAGACCGAAACAGAACCAAAGCAAAGCCAAAAGCCACAGTGCGAATTGTGCCAGATGTGCCAGGATGTGCAACGAAATATATTTGTTCTAGATAACCTCGAAAATCCAGAAACCCAGAACCACACACGCAGCCCAGCAAACAAACAAACGCTTACAAACATATCTGAAAAGGGAACACACACACAAAAAATAAACAGAGAGAAATTACAATCAACTAAAACTACGATTCACAATGAACAAAGTTTCCCAAAAGTATCAAGGGAAAAATATGAGAATGTTTTCAAATAATAAAACACCTTTGTCTTGAAGAGTATGGAACGCATTTGCCAACAAATTAACGGAAATGAAGCATACAACAAAGGGGCTGGGGCGGTGCCCAATGGGGCGTGCTACCGTACTCGATGGGCGTGCCAGGAAGTGTAGGGAGAATGGAAATTCGAACATCGAACGTCAAAAACTTCATTTCCGTTAAGATTTTTGTTGTGCAAAAAAAAAAGGAAAAAAAACAGTCAGAAAATTGAAATTGCTGTTGGATCTACTTTTTGCCTATGATGCAATTTTTTTCTTTTGATTTTATAATTTTCCACTCTCTGTGTGTCTCCCCACCAGCTTCTCGGTTTTTTCTGTAAATACATTACCACACCACCACCACCACCACCACTGCTCCCGTTTTCCCCACTCTGCCACTGCATTTTCTTTTTCCCCGCTCCCACCAACCATTTTCTGTACAGACAAAAAAACAAACGCAAAATTCTTCTATAATAAGTGTGTGAGTTTTTTTGTTGGTTTTCTTTCTCTTGGCAAAATTTGTTAGAAAGCAATACACAATTTTTATGTTTCTTCTCTCTCTCTCTCTCTCTGTCAAAATCTTTAATTATTGTAAAATATATTGGATATCCACTAACTAAACTATCTATCTGTCTGTGTGTGTACTATATGTGAAACCAAAAATACGAATACGAAAACGAAAACGAAGCAAAAGAATACCACTTTTTAAAAGACATCCTTCCCAATTAGATTTTGAGTTTGACACAGTTTTATATACCTTGTATACTCATAGGTGAATACAGTTGCCTCAAAGTCGATCTACTATTCAAGCGAGAATTCTCATATTACTTAATACAAATTTATATACCATGCTGTATGTTGGTCATTGTATCATGGGTATCATTTTGGCTGGATCAAGGCGCAGTGCCAGCGCGTGTGTCATTGGGTGAGTAAAAGAAAAACTCGAAAAAAGATTACCAGGATACTCTACAGTCGAAACGAATCGATTTAAATCCTGCCAACTGCATTGGGAATTATCGAGCAACCAACATGTTCGATCACTCTCTCTCTTTGATCTACAAAATATTATCTTGTCTCGAATTTATTAAATTGTTTCGTGCATCGTTGCGATTAATTGAATTTCTCTTTCTGGCAGGTGTCACCACTCTTTTGACCATGGCAACACAAACATCGGGCATTAATGCATCACTGCCACCAGTATCCTATACGAAGGCGATTGACGTATGGACCGGCGTCTGTTTGACCTTCGTGTTCGGGGCATTGCTTGAGTTTGCCTTAGTGAACTATGCATCCCGTTCAGGTTCGAATAAAGCTAGTAATTGAGATTTGATATGCTTCTTAACAACCTTATAAATGTTAATTAATCGATGGTGTTTTTTCCTTTTTTTTACTACTATTTTTGACTGTTGCTTTTTATTGTAACTCGAGTGAAATATGTAATACCAAATACCAATACTACTACCTATATAACATATACGCATAATGTGTATATGTATATGTCTGCCGTTAAGTGTACATACAAGAACCAGTTACCAGTCACACAACCAACAACCTCTCTGTATATCGATTGACTTGAAGAAAACACAGAACTCTGTGTGTGTTTTCGATTCTGTACTTGAAGCAAACAACACATCTCTGGGCGCCTGAACTGACTATAAACGCCTCACACACTCACAAAAACAGTGGACCGCCTAACACACTAATACACTGCCTTCTCCTACATACTTAGGGCAGGAGCCGAACGACGCCCCTCCGCCCCACATATATGTCAATGTCTATATATAATCTTAAAATATCTAAACCAAAATGTTTAGTCGTAGATCTTTCGATATGTGTACTATTTTTCGTTTCACTTAATTTTCATCTGTTTGATATCTAACCACAACAAACTGATGTTCTACGTGTGAATCTATACTAATCCAAGCTTTCTGTTTTACTCTCTTACTTTCATTCCGCGCCCAAAAACCATACATCTATAAACCCACCCACCGACACATCAATCCTTATACAAAATACCCTATAACTATAACCCTATGATCCATCCATCCACACGCAACATGTTCAAAAAACCCACGAAATAAACGCGTTTGGAAAAAAAACAACACGATGAATTTTGCTTTCTGTTCGGTTCTTCAATGTTGTATCACAAAAACAAAAACAATAAATGCTTGTAAATATAAATAAAACCCAAATACTTTTTGTATAAACTATAAAAATAATGTGTGTGGTAAAATATGAAATTCAAATAATTATTTTGATAAATCTTTTTTCTTTGATGGAAACTTGTTACGAATCTTTAAACGTGTTATTCTTTCTGTATTGTGTGACTATCTCTCCATGTCTTTCTCTTTCTGTCTGTCTCTGTCTCGCCTTAAAACACTCGCTGTCTAACTGTACTTTGTGTGTGTGTGTGTGTGTGTATTAAAATTCATATAAAACTGCATTAAAAAACACCATCGAAAACACCCGACACTCTTTTGTGGAACATATAAATTCTTGTAAACATCTGTCCTTCACAACATGCAACATTATATATCCTACGATATGGTATATACGGATCGGGCCGCAGACATGCATAAGGAGAATATGAAAAAGAAGCGCCGAGATCTGGAGCAGGCCTCCCTGGACGCCGCTTCAGATCTGCTTGATACAGATAGCAATGCAACCTTCGCAATGGTACTTAACTCTTGATATACTATCTCTCTAAAAAATCCTATTTATATAAGGCGAGGGCCTAATAAAACTACCAGAAACTAGTAGAACATTCTAAGAAATACAGAAAAATAAGGGATGAGGCTAGAAAATATAGAAAAATACCATAACAACTTTAAAGGATCGGAAGATAATAGATAGATACTAGGAAAAAAGGAAAGTGTAAACCAAATGCAAAAAATATAGAAAAGCAAATATAGAAAAACCATATAAAATTACTGGGAAAAGATAAAAATAGCAGAAAATATAAACAAGAACTATTGACACCGTTTTGTCTGTTATTTTGGGTAGAAAAGCATCCATCCATGTCCGTTTTTTAATATTTGGAATACCCACGCATAGGCGTCTATAAAGGAAGCCCCCTACTACGGGACTTATATTTCTCTCTGCCATCATTTGTTTTTCCTTTCGAAACAACAAACATCAAAACGTCGAATTGGCTTAAAACTCAAAACAAATTGTTATGATAAAACTATTAAAACAACTATTTTCTTTTATACTTGCCTCTTTCTTTATTACCACCACAAAAAACAACAACAACCAAAAACTTTTTTCAAACGTGTACTACAACACAAATATACAACAACAACCAAACAAAATAAATGCAAAACCCATCCACCGTATCATCGCAAAACCACCACTCGACCGGGAATTGAATTGGAAATATCGCAATGAAAATGAAAATTAAATGAAATTTACGCACATGCCCTGCCTCCCTAAACCACCACCACCACCACCCACTGAAACACCTGCCAACCTGCTCGAACCAACCAACCAACCAACCAACTCATCGAACCACCATCGTACCCCTCATTTGTTTCATGTCAAACGGCATCGCAATTTCAACGCGGTGTCGGCCAACAGAAACCGCTGGTGCGCCATCCCGGCGATCCTCTGGCCCTCGAGAAGCGTCTCCAGTGCGAGGTGCATATGCAGGCACCCAAGCGACCCAATTGCTGCAAGACTTGGCTATCGAAATTCCCCACAAGGTAACTGAGATACATGGCACCGCCCCCTGCCCCTAAGCAATGGGGTAGTGGCGGGGTGCCTAGTAGATCTCTTGAAATATACTTTAGTTCTATCTGTGTGTTGTGCATATAGTAGTTGATGGATTTACTTTTTGATGTTGTGAACATGTGTACTACTACTATTCTCTATTATATTCTCTTTTCACTAACTCTTGTTGACTTTTTTGCTATCACATCAAACAAAAACAATCTCTCAAACAGTCTCTCTCATTGATTCCGACTCTCCTGTGAAAAAACACCCGAAATATCTGCCGCTTGCTTGCCGTTTGTTAAAAACAACTTCAGTTTTTTGCTCGCTGATCATTTATGTTGCCAAAATTAAAAGAAGAAAAAAAAAACAAGTGAAGTAAAAAAAAAATGTTTGTAAAAAGAAAAAAAGTATTTTACGAATACAAAAAATAACAAAAGTTTGAAATTTGACATAAAAATAATTTTTTTAAATTTAAACTAAAAAATGGTATTATTTTGTATTACTAAAAAGTGAAAATTTTATTGCTTTTGTGCCTTTTGAAATAATTTCTTGTGTGTGATTTGTTTGTTTTGAAAATCAATCAATCGAATGTTGTGTTGTAGATACAACCCCCCTTTCCATCCTGACCCACAACCCCTCCCAACCCCTCTGTAGATACCACCCCTCACCACACCCCTTGCACTTATAATTTTCCAGCACGTCACACGCGCCCCACCTCGCCGCCTCACAAACATTTTTAAAACAAACAAATTATTTTGCCAAAAGACACAAATTTTGAAATGAGAAATGAAAATTTGAAACTGAAATATTTGGAAACAAAAAAACTAAGAAAAAAAATACCGAAAACCGAAAAAAAAGTAATCACAAATCAAATCAAAAAGCCAATCTTTAGATGATCAATTAATATATATTTTCTTCGTACTTGTTGAATATTTATCCAAAGACAATGTTCTAGATCGAAGAGAATCGATGTAATATCACGGATCACCTTCCCGCTGGTCTTTGCCCTGTTCAACTTGGTCTACTGGAGCACATATCTCTTCAGGGAGGAGGAGGATGAGTAAATGCCGTTGCCAATACTTAAATTTAATACTTAAAAAAAACCTATAAACTTAAAAAAATGAACAGCAAATGTAACCGAACACACATGGGAAAGGATTGTACTAACCTATTCTTTCAATTCTTTTTCCATTCTTTCCAAAAACTTTTGGTTCCCATTTGGATTAATTTTCATGCTCTTTTTGTGTTGCGTTTTGTGTTTTCCAAATGATTTGTTGAACCTCAAATAAAAAGGACCTTCTAAGGACCGCGAACGGCTATGTAGAATCCAAAACAAGAGAGAGAGAGAGAACGAGGGGCGCATTCCCCCTCAGTACAGAAACAGAACAGAGTTATAGGCAAGGCTTCAAGGCACTTCCATTAAAGATTAAAATGATAATTCGAATGACGTTGGAATGATGATTATTAAAAATTAATTCTTAAGCTCAATTGATGATCCAAAAGTGTGACTGCATAGTAGTTAATGTTATTAATAATTATAGAAAAAACAACACACAAACACACACACACACCTACACAACAATTGTTTGAGTTAGACTAGTTCAAAATAAATTTAAAAAAACAAATTAAAAAATGACAATTGATTTGTACTTAAAAACAAAATTTGATAAGTTTAGCCCTAAATCGTAAATCCTAGGATCAGAGGTCGAACCATCGACCATCTTTTGTACATACGAATGAATACGAATAAGTTTTAAGCGAAACAACCAAAACAAATCTCTAGTTTAAAAACAAATTCGAATTGTGTAAAGAGCATTGTGTAGATATTTACTAAGTTTAGTCGATAAACCCGAAGCGGAAGCTAAACGAACAACTCTAGGTAAAAAAATCCAATAAAATTATATGTTCATTCATCGAAAAGAAGAGATCGAATAAAACAATCGTACGAAGAAAATCATCTGCAAAGCACACAATGAAAAAAGTATAATCAAGAAGTATTTTTATTTTAAGGCCAAACTAAGAGAAAATGGTTTATGTGGTGGGTATTTTTGCATCCTTTTTCCTAGAACTCCTAGAACTATACTTTGAAGCCTGCTTTCGAGTTTTGAGCATTTGTTAAAGTAGTTTTACAATATTTAATACTATGTAAATTATTATGGGAGTACTCGTTGTCCTGAATTCTTATTTGATTTAAACACTAGCCTTTTATTACATTTTTCCTTCTGTATTCTGGGTCCCAGCGGCTCCTTTTAGCTATAGTTTACTTCCCCGTTTTCCTTAAGTAGAGTTAATAATAAAAATCTATAACAACTAAAACCAATTAAACAGACAATACAAATACGTAATCGAATATCGAATCGGTTCGATAACCGACATATAGAGCCACCACCATATAGAGAGTTCTTTACCAATAATCCAAAAAATTAAACCAAATTTTTTTGGTTTTTTAAGTGCCTTTTTTCATACGAATAAACCACTTCCAAGACATCCCCCCTCGCCCCTTTTGATGCACTAACAGCTTTAACTTTTAGCCAAAAAATACTAACAAAAGTACTAACTGAATTCTACATAGCAACAATAACAACAACCAAAACAAAAAAACCAGTAAGACACATAAAATATTTCAACTAAAACCGAATTTTTTTGTAATTTTTGTAGTTTTTATGAATATTTGTTATTTCTTAAGCTTGTTTTGTCTTTTACTTTATTCCTAAGTTCTTTGGAAATGCTTTTCGATCACTTTGAACTTTTGCTTTTAATATAATTTCGATAAATAAAAGGTAAGAAGAGAAATTAGAAAATTACTAAGGAAAACCAAAAATAAAAATCAAAAATCAATGAAAAATTCAAAACTTATGCTAATATTTAAAATAAAAAACACTACACAGAAAAGGGCACCCATGCATAATAATTGTTGTCATTCAAAATCATAGGCATACACAAAACTTAAATGTAAAAGAAAATTCGAAATAAACTGATAGATCGATAAATATCGATCGGCGATCTTTTTCGGTAAATCAATAACATATTGATAGATAAACATTCATGTTGTAAAAGTTGTGCCAAAAAACATTAGTCGAAAGAATATCGAACACGAAGCGCTATTAACGATTAACGATTAACGATAAAATTATGAAAGATGACTATAGCGATAACGATTACACTATGGCGATATTTGTAATGTAAATGAAAAGCTATAGCAAGCTAGCGAAGAAGATCAATAAACGATAACTACAGCGATAGTTGGTAATGTAAATGAAAAAGCTATTGAACATACAGGGTTTTAAAATGTGAGCATATAAATGTTGAAGCAAGAAATAGGCAGAAGGAGAAGAATAGCAGAAAATACTAGAAGAAGAACACGACAAAAAACACACAATGTTATCGATAATATATCGATCTAAATAAGCAAGAAGAACAATTAGGCATTTATTTATAGCGGGGGTTCCATTAATTGAGGGGCGTATTAAGGGTACTTTGGTTGTGTGCTGCTTTCAGTTTAGTCGATTCTTCGGATTTTGTCAATTATCATTTATTTCTATAGGCAAATTGTTCAGCAGCATGGCAGTCCAATCGATAGCACAGATTGTAAATACGATAGACACATGAGACAACTTTAGACTTGGAAGTTTTGAGCATTAGGTGGAGTAACAAAAATGGGAATTCACAGACAGAAGAAATGTTTAGATGATAAGATTAACGTATGGATTTAGATCTTAAGGAAAATGGCATTAACAATACTAAAAGAAACAAGAAAAACTACAACTGAAGGCAACTCATTCACACACCAATCGACACTACCCAACACTCCTGTTCCTGTACACAGAAATGTTCAATCTTTGCCACACTAAAATCGAAAACGAATCTAATCTCTGCACAAGAACCCAAGCGAAAAACTTTAGATAAAGATCATGACACATATCTTCCAGCAAAGAATTTCTCGGCCGAAGTTCTCTACAATCAAAAGACAGAAAAAAAGATATTGTATCTAAAGAAGCAATGTAAATAACAACAAACAAACAAAAACACCAATCAGAAGCAGAAGAAAAAAATCACCTTACTTTATAGAGCTATAAGTGGACGAAAGCGCACAGTACACACTCACAGCCAAAATTAAAGCAACAAATTGTATAAGAAAAACTACACCAAGAAAACTCATACACACAAATGTAGTCTTAAGATCGGAAAACATGAATTTTGCTCTAGCGCATAACCAAGGAAAATCCAGGTAACTAGTTACAACCAAATCGTAGGAAAAGTCAGGGGGAGAAAAGTTAAACAGTAAACCAAAAGAGAAAAGCGAATCAAACCAAAACAAAGGCCTGTCGAATGAAATCAGTAGAATAATTATACAAAAAACAACCAAAAATAGTTGAAAATAATTGTTGTCGACCCGAAAAGAAACGCAAAAGAAAATAAAAAATGCAAAATAAAACCGAAAAGAAAAGCCAAAAAATTGTGTAAGACCCCCCAAAAGAATAAAAGATGTTTGTGAAATGTTTATAAATAAAAAAGAAACCAAAAGAAATATGAAAGAAAAATGCAACAATGAGTTTTCTTTTGAGTAAAAAGTTAAAAACATACAATTTCCCCATCTATTGCCTTCCTTTGATATTCAAAAAGTACTCTTTGGTAGCCATTCGATTCGTTTTGCCATTGGGACTGCGCTTCAGTTCCTCCATGATGATTGCACCGCCATTCAACTGCTTGTACTTGGCTTCCGTATGATCTCTCACATAATCCACAATGTCCTGGGCTTTCAGTTCTTTTCCCTGCCTCTTGACGACAGCAGCGACTGCCTCATCTCCATTAACTTCGTCCCAGACACCAAAAACACAAACCTCAGCAACTTCTGGCATCTTAGAGATGATCGTTTCGATATCGTTCGGGTAGTACATGATGCTCTGGTACTTTAGCATGTCCTTTTTCCGTTCCACAATATACAGGAAGCCATCATAATCCATGTAACCGAGGTCCCCAGTGTGGAACCACATCTGAGGGTCACGAATCTTTCGAGTCTCCTGCTGATTTCCAAAGTATCCCGCCCAATGCTGGCCATTGCGGATGCACACCTCTCCAAGCTCATCGGGACCCAGAGATTCTCCCTCTTCAGAGACTATCTTAGCCTTCAAGCCACTGAGCAGCCTACCCACAGAGTTGGGCTTATCATCAAAATGAACGTTCATGGTGGCCATGGCCCCTAATTCCGTCAATCCATACATGAAAATGAGACCATCGCTGCTCAGTCGACTTCTAATGAGCTTCTGCGTCTCAACTGAAGCGCGACCTCCTCCAAATAAGAAATACCTGATGCTCGAGAAGTCTGTGGACTCGAACTCCGGACAATTTACCATCATGGCCATATGGGAGGGCGCCTGCAGTGTCCATGTGATCTTGCGGTCCTCTATGAGCCGCAACACGTACACAGGATCGTAAACATTGTCTGTGATAATTCTTGTAGTGCTGTAGACTCCCGATGTAATGGTTGTCAAGACACCAGAAATCCAGTCGAGGCCGCTGTGGGTATACTGAACATCCGAGGTAGTTAGGGAACTGCAGATGAACGACGGGATTGATAGATAGATAGATATCTGAGAGATTGCATCTAAATGATACTTACTGGCAGCCGGCGAGTATCTTTCGACTGTTTGTTAGAGTCACCGCCTTGGGGGTGCCTGTGGTGCCCGAGGAACAGAGTATTGCCAGAGTCTGATCGATGCCCTGCTCCAGTCGCACGGGCAGAAAGTTATCCTCGATGGAGGATGAGAGTATCTGCAGGATGGGAGTCGATCCTCCCTCTGGATGGTTCCGCATCGTAACGATCTCCACATTCTCCAGGTCCTGAGTGGCTTCTCTCACTTTCTCGTACTCATCCCCGTCGCAGAATATGATCCGTGGCCGTGTGATGGAGAAAAGCTTCTCGATGGTACCCCGATCGTAGGCGATGTTCAGGGAGTGGAAGGCGATGCCATTGAAGAAGCAGCCATAAGCAACGGCAGCGATATGGGTGGTGTTCCTGGCTATAATCCCCACTATATCCGACTGGAGTAGACCCTTCGATCGCATATACGAGGCTACACGCATCGCATTCGAGTGGAGCTCTTCGCGGGTGAGAATTGTCTCCTCAGTGGTGGATATCTGGAAGGCACAAATGTATCTCTCCCTTGATGTTAGATGGATATCGAAACTCACTTGAGCAATCAGCTTCGGATGCCTGCGCATTTCATGGAAAATAATCTCCCCAATGGATAGGTTCGGCGCAAAGTACTCTTTGATTTCATCGCCACTCCAAATCTTTAGATCTTTATCGTACGAAGTTGCTGGTACGTAAGGCATTTCGTGCACTTTTCTTGACTTTCAATCTTTTCAAACTGTTCCTAATTTCCGAGTGCCCTCGTTCTTATATACCAAAATAATAGCAAAAACAAAAGATAATCCCATAAAGATTGCAGCTTTGTGGAATGGAAGATATGACGACGGTCCAAAGACAAGGCTTCTTCTCTTCTTTCACCATTTCTGTTTGCAAAGTGAACATCACACCCAAATACTCTGGGTATGAAAAATTTGAAGATAAATCCGAGGTAATACACGTAAAAACAAGTCAGGGGCTCATTTGCATTTGCTTATCATAAGAATAACACTTCATTACATGTCAGATAGTCACATTTTCTGCTGTGTCATTTCATACATCATCTAGACCTGGTTTCTAGATATCTTTCTTGTACCTTGTATCTGTGGGAGAATGACGGTCCAATCTCTGCCAATCTGACACGCTCTGAGTGTTATCTATAAAATTACGATGTTTCGAATGATGAAATTGGAAAGGTCAGAACTCTTGGAAGCATATAAAGCTTTTGATTTTTTTATACCCGTTACTCGAAGTGTAAATAGGGTATATTGTATTTGTGGGGAGGGATTAAATCCACATGCATATTCTTGATCAGTATCAAAAGCCGAGTCGATAAAGCCATGTCTGTCTGTCCGCCTGTCCGTCTTTATGAGCGCCTAGCAGTCAGAGACCCTAGGAGATGGGGCAACCAAGTTTTTGCATCCAGACTTCTGAATGGGGGGTCGAATGGGATCGGAAACGCTTCCTTCTGTGTGGTACATGCACAAATACAATATACAATATTTACTCTTCGATTACCGGTTATAAAAATATTGTTTCGTTCGGAAGTTATTCATTTTTGGCACAGAAAGCAATGCTGTGCCAATGCAAGCAACATGCTGTGCAACATTAAGATGTTGCGAATTTCGTGAATGAGAGGATGCTGCTCCGAATATGTTGCGTGGCAGTGCGTCGAATTTGTGAATTTAAGATTCCATTTATTGCCGCCTTATAGTGGCGCCAGGTGCTACTACAGAAAGGCGCTAGGTGGCGAAGAGTTCCAAAATAAAACAGTAGATGGCGCTGACGTTCAGTCATCAAGTCATAGTGGCAATGAACTAAAAATGACTGAGAAGTATAGATACATTATAACGTAAACTGACTGAAATACTCCACAAAAATATTTCCCAAAATAACCCGGAAAATTTACTCAAACATAATGTGACCCATAAACACACCTAATTATACCTTTTGAACCCTCCTAAAACGGCACTTTTAATTCAATAAACGCCTAAACTGAACCATTACACAACTTTGAATGAATAATCGTCTGATCGTTGGATGCTGCTGACAGAGAAAAAGGTACATCTCGTGTCAAGCGAAAGCGTTTTGTCGTCGAAATATATCCGGACACTTTAACTGCTGCTAAATTGCCGACTAATTTCGATTCCATTTCCAATTTTGCAATCTTTTGCGTGACCTTTAAATAGGAGCCGCCACCAGAGACCAGCCGCCAGTTGCATCAAAATGTTGAATCCAAAAGGCAGCAGTAATCCCACCACGAAGTACGATGACAAGGAACACATATGGAGCGGAGCACGGCAGCATGGATTCTACAATGAAGGCTTGACCATTGGACAGATCATCTTTCGGCAGCTGCAGCGAGAGCCCCAAAGGATATTCCAGATCTCACACACGGATAATACGCGGCTCACGCGCTGGCAGATGCTGGAGAATGCCTCCAAAATGGGTGCGTATTTGAGGGAACAAAAATGCATAAAGGAAACGGATATTGTGGGTCTGATGGCAAGGAATACGACACATGTGGCAGCTGTGGCCTATGGCTGCCTCTTCAATGGCACACCCTTTCATGCCGTGAATCCGAATCTCGAGGAGAAGACCATCAGGGATCTGTACAACATCACCAAGCCCCGCATCCTGTGCTGCGACAGTCAGGACTATGAGAAGATCAAGGATATAGCTGGAACATTGGGTGCCACAGTTCTCATAGTTAATGGAAAGGTTCCCCATGTCTCGAGCGTCCCAGAGATACTTAGAACCGCTTTAAATGGCAACTATGAGCCTTCAGAGTTTCCTGGCGGCATCAATCGCACCATGGCCATCCTTTGTTCTTCGGGCACGACAGGAACCCCTAAAGCGGTGACCATTTCCAACAGTCGCAAACTATTCGAGTGCCACAGGTACACCCCACAAGTGAATAATACTCTCAGAGAACTCGGTTTAAAGACTATTTTTCGTACAGCTACCTGTCGCCCAATGATGTGCAGTATGCTCCTAGTACCCTGGACTGGCTGACGGGACTGATTTCTCTCGTCACGGCTGGGGTTTATGGCACAGTCCGTTTGATATCCAGTGAAATGTTTAGCCCCGCGCACTTTTTGGAGATCTGTGAACAGAATGAAATGTCGTGGACCATTATGGCCAATTCTCATGTCGCCATGTTGGCCAATTGCCCACAAACCAAGGCCCAGAAGCTGAGAAGCCTGCAGCACTTGCTTTTCGCTGGCGGCCACTGTCTTGTGGCGACTCTCAGGAAAATGCAATCCTTCCTGCATGGCCAGGGTATCCTGAGAAATGCCTATGGCCTAACGGAGTTGGGCGCCCTCGTTTCCTACAACTACGACACGCAATCGAAGCCCGAATCGGTGGGTCGTTTGTTGGCCAACATCCGCGTGAGGATTGTCGATGCCGCAGGGCAAAATCTGTCGGTGTCAGGCGTGGGAGAGATCCTGTTGCACAATGGACAGCCGTGGAGTGGATATTTTGGCAATCCCAAGGCCACGGCGGAGATGCAGGACTCCGCAGGATGGTTCCACACGGGCGACATTGGCTACTTTGATGAAGATAACTATCTGCACATTGTGGAGCGCAAAAAGGACATGCTAAAGTATCTGGGAATGATGTACTATCCGCATGAGATCGAGGAAGTGATCGCCCAAATGCCCGATGTCTCCGAGGTCTGTGTGTTTGGCCTGTGGCGCGAACAGGAGGGCGACGCGGCAGCTGCCTCTGTGGTCCTTCGTCCCAGCAGCCAAGTCCAAGCCTTTGAGGTGGAGATTTTTGTGCGGGAGCACATCTCCGTGCCCTTCAAGCACCTCCATGGTGGGGTGCAAATCGTGCAGCAGCTGGCCAAGAGTGCCAATGGAAAGGTCAATCGTCAGGCGGTCAAAGCGGACTACATAAAGCGGTTCGCCTCCACTTAGACGTCCCCGCAGATTCATACCACAGTTACGCAGATAGAGTTCCACTTTTCAACAGATACAGATACAAAATGTAAACAGCGTGCTAGCACTTTGCACTCTCACAAGACACACTCGTCCTCACGTAGATACTATCTAAACTATTCCATGGTAATATCTAGCTTTCACTCGAATAAAGATACAAATAGCGAACTTCACAGTTGCACCAAAATGCCAATGGAAAAATATCTTTTCATCCAAAAGGCAATACTGTGGGGATCAAACAATTATTTAAGTAAATTCAAACAAATATTGAATCCTTTGCGATGTCCCATAAAAGTCCAAATACCATTTAGATACACAGGAACCAGTAGCTTCGAGAAGAGAGCTTCTGTTTACAGCAGAAATATCTGTTGAAACTGTAATTGTTTGTAAAAGATCCAACCACTTTTGTGTATTTTCTATGTTATTTGCATTTTCATCTGGCCTATAATTTTCGAATCGATGATTGAAGTTCATTTACCAATTGGCACGCGATGAAAACGCAAACAAAAGACACACCCGATGATGATTATGATGATGATGATGATGATGCAACATGCAATAGCCAATGGCCACCCCCTGACCCTGCCCCACACATCTAGATCTGCTCGTGAAAAAAGTGCCACCAGTCATTGTAATCTCAATATGGTGTGTGTGTGTGTGTGTGTGTGTGTGTGTGTGTGTGCTCTAATCAAAATTTAATAGAAGTGTACACGTGAGTGTAAAAGTAAATGTAAGTGCCATTGTAAGTTTAAGTGGCGATAAACTTATCTACAAACAAGATACAATGCGAGTGCGAATCTCTATAAAAACGCAACTGCAGTCGCCAATTGCCATTAGTCGAGAAAAAATCATTGGAGGCAATGCCTTATGTACCCGCAAATTCCTACGATGGAGACCTTAAGATCTGGAGTGGATCAGAGATCACAGAGTACTTTGCGCCGAACCTATCCATTGGGGAGATTATTTTCCATGAAATGCGCAGGCATCCGAAGCTGATTGCTCAAGTGAGTTTCGATATCCATCTAACATCAAGGGAGAGATACATTTGTGCCTTCCAGATATCCACCACTGAGGAGACAATTCTCACCCGCGAAGAGCTCCACTCGAATGCGATGCGTGTAGCCTCGTATATGCGATCGAAGGGTCTACTCCAGTCGGATATAGTGGGGATTATAGCCAGGAACACCACCCATATCCCTGCCGTCGCTTATGGCTGCTTCTTCAATGGCATCGCCTTCCACTCCCTGAACATCGCCTACGATCGGGGTACCATCGAGAAGCTTTTCTCCATCACACGGCCACGGATCATATTCTGCGACGGGGATGAGTACGAGAAAGTGAGAGAAGCCACTCAGGACCTGGAGAAGGTGGAGATCGTTACGATGCGGAACCATCCAGAGGGAGGATCGACTCCCATCCTGCAGATACTCTCATCCTCCATCGAGGATAACTTTCTGCCCGTGCGACTGGAGCAGGGCATCGATCAGACTCTGGCAATACTCTGTTCCTCGGGCACCACGGGCATCCCCAAGGCAGTGACCATCACCAACAGTCGACAGATTCTAGCCGAGTGCTAGTAGGTAGATCTTGATACCGAGAAGTATCTGTATCTAATCGTTTACCTTATTATTTTCAGCTCCCTGACCACCTCGGATATTCAGTATACCCACAGCACCTTAGACTGGATCACTGGACTCTTGACAACCATCACATCGGGAGTCTTCAGCACTACCAGGATTATTGCAGATAATGTCTTCCATCCTGTCAACATGATGCGCTTGATTGAGGAATACAAAATCACATGGCTCATCCAGGCACCCTCCCACATGGCCATGATGGCCAATTCTGAGGAATTCGAGTCCGCAGACTTCTCGAGCATCAGGTCTTACCTATTTGGAGGAGGTCGCGCTTCCGTGGAGACGCAGCATCTCATTAGAAACCGTCTGAGCAGCGACTGTCTGCATTTTGCCTACGGATTCACGGAATTGGGGGCCATGGCTACCATGAACCACCATTTTGACGAGAAGCCAAACTCGGTGGGTCGCCTGGTTAGTGGAGTGAAGGCAAAGATAATCTGTGAAGAGGGAGAATCCCAAGGTCCTGATGAGGTGGGTGAGGTGTGCATTAGCAACGGCCAGCATTGGGCGGGATACTATGGAAATCCCGAGGAAAGCCACAAGATTCGGGACTCTCAAATGTGGTTCCACACTGGAGACATTGGCTACATGGACGATGATGGATTCCTGTACATTGTGGAACGGAAAAAGGACATGCTCAAGTACCAGAACATCATGTACTATCCGAATGACATCGAAACGATCATATCTGAGATGCCAGACGTCGCCGAGGTCTGTGTCTTTGGCGTCTGGGATCAAATCAATGGAGATGAGGCAGCCGCCGCTGTCGTCAAGAGGCAGGGAAGTGATCTGAAAGCTCAGGACATTGTGGATTATGTGAGAGATCACACGGATGCCAAGTACAAGCGATTAAATGGAGGGGCCATTATCATGCAGGACCTGATGCGCAGTCCCAATGGCAAAACGAATCGAATGGCCACCAAGGCGTATTTTTTGGAAGTTAAGGATCGAAATTGAACAGAAAATACCAGAATAAACTTTGGAAATCATGTACCCCAATGGTCAATGGTTTAATCTCCTCTCCCTCTCTGTATGTACACATTTTCACCTCAGTCTGAGCATTGGCAACTCTCTCACTCTCTCTCTCTCTCTCTCTCTCAACTAAGTGACGTAGCAAACCGCTCGGAAATCGCAAAACCGCAAATCGTAATCGAAAACGGTTATGGCGCGATAAAGCGTGATAAGATATGATATGTAAGGCGCTGGACAGCAGCAGAGCACACGCACCTGCAGGGAAACCTCTTGCCAGTTGCTGTAGAACGTGCGAAGCGTTTGGACCCCGCCGTAGACATCCCATCCGACATTTCGGAGAGAGCAGAGCGCTTATCAGCGGACTGACGGACCCTTTATTATGGAGCGCTCGAGCACACACTTCGATAAATATACCAAAATATGGAGTGGACCGAGGCCGCAAAGCTTTTTCGATGCAGATTGTTCGATTGGTAAAATATTGTTTGCATTTATGCGAAATCATCCATCGAATTTGTGTCAGGTGAATGCTGGCCGCTCTTTCGCTAGAACTCCGCCCATTAATATTTCCTCTGCAGATCTCCGATACAGACGGCACAGCCTTGACCAATGGAGAGGCCATCACCTTTGCCATTCGGATTGCTCAACAACTGAAAGCCCTGGGCCTCAAGCAGGATGATGTGGTGGGTGTGGCAGGCACAAATACCACATATCTAATGCCAGTGGTGCTGGGCTGTCTTCTGAACGGCACACCCTTCCATGCCGTGAGTCCGTGGCACGACGAGGACACCCTCAAGCACTTGTTCTCCATAACGCGACCTAGGATCATCTTTTGTGACGGTCTCGTCTATCCTCGCATCAGCATCATTTCTAGGATGTTCAAGAGTCATGTTTACACCCTCAAAGAGCATCGTTTGGGCATTCCTAGAGTGGAGGATCTGCTGGAGCCCACGAAGGCAGAGCTCTATTATGTGTAAGTGAGCCTTTTCCCATTTTTTGTTTCATAGATACAAAACTGTTTGCTTACTGCAGTCCCGAACCTCTGCCCTTGGGTGGTGATCAAACGGTTGCCATTCTGTGCACTTCGGGCACGACCGGACTACCCAAGGCCGTGACCATAACCAATGCAGCTTGTCTATTTGATTTTGGGTAAGATCTATTGCTATGTTCTGGATTAAATCCCTCCCTAATCTCTCTCTCTCTCTCTCTCTCTCTCTCTCTTTTCTGTAGCTTCGTCACGGGCCAGGATGTTCTGTTGTCCTTCAGCACAATCGACTGGTCCGCTGGCATGTTTCAGATGCTCTTCAGCGCCTGCCATGGCTCCACGCGCATCATCACGGATCGTGCCTACACTCCCGAATATCTCCTGCAGTTGGTGGAAAAGTACAAGGTCACGCTCCTCACGTTGGTGCCACAGCAGGTGGCATCCCTTGTCAAAGCCCCAACGCTGAGCAAACAGCGACTCGCGACCATTCGTTTCATCAGCATTGGCGGCGGCAATTGCTATGTGGCGAATGTCCTAAAGATGCAGGAATATCTTCTGAATGGACAGATATCTTATGGCTATGCCCTCACAGAAACTGGGGGCGTTTCGGCCAATATGGGCGTGGCAAAGCCCTCATCTGTGGGCAGAATTGTGCCAGGAGTGAGGGTGAAAATACTGGACGATGCTGGCCGCAGTTTGGGCCATGGCGAAACGGGTGAGATCCTCCTGCACAATGGAAAGCAATGGAATGGCTACTATGGCAACCCCAACGAAACAAAGCGCATGCAGGACTATCAGGGCTGGTTCCATACCGGGGACATGGGCTATTTTGACGATGAGAACTACCTGCATATTGTGGAGCGTAAGAACGAAATGCTGCGCTTCCATGGGGCCCAGTACTGCCCCCACGAGCTGGAGCAAGTGATTGCCGAACTGCCAGACGTGATCGAAGCCTGTGTCTTTGGCCTTTGGAACGATGTGGATGGCGATCCAGCGGCCGCTGCTGTCGTAAAGATCCCTGGCAGTCGCTTGAGCGAAATGGACATTGTGGAGTATGTCGCCAAGCGGCTGGTCGTCACCCACAAGCAGCTTCATTGTGGCGTCTTTTTCCTCACGGAGCTGCCAAAGACGGGCAGTGGAAAGGTCCTGCGGCAGCAGGCTCGCGACCAGGCTCTCGGAAAAAAGTGGTCCGACTACGGCAATGGCCACTGAATCCATTCAAATAGTTTTACAGCTTACTATAGACTTACAGTATGACTCACACAGTCAGTATTCAACTCCATGCGCGGGCAAAGATACAACCAAATAAATTCCAAACAAAAATAAAAGGAAAGAAACATTTTTGATATCACTTTTTTGTGGGTTCGTTGGCGGCTTATCTGTTGATGATTAGAGGCAGCCAGGTGCGATTGTTGCGGTCCGATTGAATGATTGAACGAAGGGTGCAAAGTAATTCAAGGGAACAGCACACATGTTAGAGGTCAAGATAAGAGGGAAAATGTTGTAAGAAAAATATATAAAGGAATGCCAATTAAGATTATAAATGTATTGAGTAACAAAAAGTAATGAACGTCCATGCTCAAAACGGGGGTTTTTTATGGGGTTTATTCTTAAGGGATTATTGATTTTTAAGAGTTTTAATGAGACAATTGTTCTTATCACCTTTTGCAATTAAACCAAATAGGCATTATCTAAGAAGTGAAAGTGCGATAAGAAATGAAAATGACATATGAAAGAAATGAAAGAGGAATTCATCAAATGTGGAGCTGTTTTTGATCGGACTATGGAGTCTATCTAATATATGCATATGATCTGGTAAATTATATACTTATATGTACATACAGATATCAATCACTCTATCCTTAACAAATAGGCAACCCCAGGAAAATACAAATGCGAAAAAGCGAAAAAAACAAAAAAAGGATGTACTCATTTATGCACTTTTCGTAATTTTATATTTCTAAATTGTATAGCCAACAATATGCTTACAGAGTTGACGTTAAATATATTTTTTGTATATTCTTGTCATACTAACATCAAATTAAGACATTTCTTAAAATAATCGAAGCAGATTTCATGAATTTATTAAATGTTGTACCTGAGACAGAAGAAACAATATCTAGAAACTTAAAATATTATTGTGTAGCACGAAAGTATTCTCCACTGTTTTGACTTTATCCAATAAATCCATAATAAATCACCAAAAATAAATAAACAAATAATTAACCGAAATACAAAACATATTTCATTTCATTTTAATACATAATAATAATACTTACTTTTTTCTATCAGTCCTCACTGTCCCTCACCATTTATGTGTATTATTCAATTTATTTTGCATCTTGTCTTCCATATCTTCCATCAGATTTTTTTTCGAAACAAGTTTTAAAGTCTTTTATTTTGGTTTTAACTCATTGATTTATTCGCGCCGAGTTTTAAGATATTGAGCTTATATACAGTTTTATGCAATTTTAAAGATTTGCATCATACTGGACCAAACACTTTCACAGCCACTGATTTAAAACCTTTGACAGAAATAGAGATTTCCCAAACACTCTTTGAGCGCCATTGAGGTTTCTCTCAAACACTTGAAGAGTCATTGGACACAACAACTGATTTCCAGCAATTGATTTGTATCACAAACACTTTGAGAGCCATTGAGACTTCCTCAAAAACACTTTGAGAGCCATTGATTGGAAAACACTTTTTGTTTGTCCAGCCGTTAAATGAGTAAATAAACCAAATGACCTGCCGGCGGGCGCCGGCTTAGCCCGTGAGCGGAAGCTTTGGGGAAATATGAGAGAAATTTGGAGCGGAAAGCTTTAGACATGATGTATTTGAGCGAATTTAATGAATTGTAAGGGAAAATTATGAGTTGGGCTTTTGCTGCTGCTACCGAATGTTTGTCAGCACAGTTTGAGAGTAACTTCATTTATGTGTTTTTCTGTTCGCTCTCCACTTAAATCATCAACTAGTGACGAAAATGAACTATTCCAGAGATAAAAATGAATAAAAAGTGCCTCACGTTTGTTATATCCCATAATCGGCCCTTGAAAGATAACATTTTGGCAGATTTAAAGATGTACCTAAACAGACAAACAGCGGATGGAACGCATGTTCGGGCCCTCGCAGAGGGAAGTGCTTTCCTAATGGAACCAAACCCTTTTTCCTTTTATCCCAAATAACATTATTATGTTGATTGACAGGCGGCCAAGAGCAGCCGCTGTACGTGACATTGTCAGCATTGCAATTGGATACTTTTTGCCCCCACAAAATGCCCCATGCACCAGGCACCAGGCACCAGGCACCATGAGTGACATGTCTGAGTCATGGATCGATGGGTGCAACATGCTCGAAATAAATGTGCAACAATTAAGCGGCCCTAGAATGGGGTAAAAGTATTAATTTGGTCTCAGGGATCAGTGATAATGATCGCGGTCCCCTCCTCCTTGGTCCGTACGATCTGGGGTTGATTGACAGTTGGGTGCAGGGAGATCATTGGCTCCCTCTGCTGCTGCTGTTTCATGTCTGAAAGTATTTTCAATGTCAAGTTCAATGAAATTCGATATTTTTGTATAAATAAATACATTTTCTTGTGCATCTGGCAAATGATCATGATCATGTCTCTGGGCTCTAAAGAGAGAGAGAGAGCTCCCTCCAGCTGCCCAGAAACCTGCTTTGAACTGGCATCCAGGAAGTGCCCAGCCCAGGCTGCGCCAATTGGCATTAGACGCGTTCTGGCAGCTACTCAAAGCCGCCTGGCGCCTCATCCGATCTGCGACTGCGTTTCTAATTGTCATGCAAATACCAATTATCATTTGTCAGTAAACGGCCACTAATTATAATCTGTGTGGTGTGGTGAGCCCACGCTTTTTTATGCGATTTTGTAGAATGATTTCTGATTTTGCTGATCAAATCTCAGATCCAATCTCTCGCTGATTAATTCATTAGCCGCTGTCGACCAGTTTGTCATGTTACATGGCATTGCTGGCACTCCAACGAGTCTCCGGCTCTGCTCGTGAGATAATTGGCATTTATTAATCGT